CCCCATAAGAGGGATGAGGACTTGGCAAAACTTCTGTGGTTCCTATATTTTCTTTTTCCCTGGAAATTGCTTTAGTACCATATCCGACCCTTTTAATTACCCTGTGAAAGAAGCATTTGAAGCGAGTTCAAAGCATGACTAAAGAGAAGGCACTAATATATGCCTCCCAAGAAAGAAAATTCCAGGCCACAGAGTATCTTACCTTAAAACCAGATATAGAAGAATGAGGGAAACAGATGACTTGTGTGACTTTTCTGGTTCTAAATAGACTTCAGTGCTAATCCTCACCTTTTTCTTTTAAACAGTGTTCCAGGTTAAGTATTTAATGGAATCAGTCCATGTAAGACTGACTTGAGGTGTGGGTTGAGGAAACTGTTTAAAAGATCATTTTCAATAACTCTAATTAGTTCATTAGTTATCTGGTATAACTAATGATAATATATATTTTCTATAAATACATCAAAACTATATTTGTAGGATGTCATGCCCATTGTGTGACCTCTGTATTCACAATAGGTTGTTTTAGGATAAGATGGTTGTCTAAAATAACAGAACATAACAATTTTTAGACATCACTACAAGTCTTATGTTAACAGTATTTAAATCACCAGTTTTTGTTTAATTAAATGTTTTCAAATAGAACAGCTCAGGAAGCTAGCAAAGTAACAAAAAGAATTAAAATGTATTTTAAATTCTAGAATCTTCCTCAAGATATTTTCTTATTTCTCACATTTCATTTCTCCCATAACAATTTCAGATGAAACATAAGAAATGAAAATTTACAAGTATACTCCTATGTCAACCACAGCTTTGTGACCTTAAAGAGATCCCTTGATTTACCTGGACCTCAGTTCCTCCATTAAAAAAAAAAAAGATATGGTAAAAGTCAGTTCTTTCCCTAACTTCAGTTCAAAATTCCAATGATGCCCAATATCCAGTTCTTAGAACTGTCAAGTGCATAGATATTTGTATGAGAAWCAGCTGCCATCCAATATTTATCCTCTTCCCACCTTCTTAGTAAAGAATTTTAATTTGGAATGGTAATGTTATCAGGTTAAGAACTATACTTTCCAAGTTTCCTCACAGCTAGGTCAAGTGATTGAATTAAACTGGCCAATGAGTGGAAGTACTATAAGAGCTTCTGAAAAGGTTGTTAAGGAGCTGACTGGGTTAACAAAATTCCCTTCTGCCATTCCAGAAGCTTGAAACACAAGTGAAACAGAAGAGGCTCTGGGAGCATTTTGGAATACGGAGCATGAAAGCAGTGTCCTAAACAGGGATACCTCCTGTAAAATTCTGTATCATCACTATTGTACTCTAAATAAAGTGCCTCCCTCTGAAGCTTAAGAACTCTGATTCTAAAGAGGATAGAAGAAAAAGATAAGAACATGATGTCATGGAGTCACTATAACCTTAATGGATTTTTTTTAATGTGAAAGAGCATTAAATGTCTACATTGTTTAAGTTACTTCTTATCTAACACAAATAGACAAACCTTGTTCTAATCAACGCCATGCAGGAATGCAAAATATGTAAATACAAAACTCTCCCCAAATTATTAAACAGCAGAGRTTAGAAGTACATTACATGAAAAGACTTTAATCTCTGAATTCCTTAAAAAGATCTGTTATTACTTTTTGTCTATAATTTAGCTTGAAATGTATTTAAAATACAGAGTAAAATCTAACAAACTTTCTAAAATCTTAAAATAAAACTTTAAATCAATTAGAAAATGTTGAAAAGAAAAGAGATCACATTACCTGCACTCAGTAATTTAGCTGTGTCTAAGTCTTGAAAAGAAACTCCTTCATTTAACTGGATAGGACACCGATAATTTAGCATTTGTAGTAAGTAATTGATTCCATCAACAAGGTACTAAATAAAAATCAAAGCCAAAGAATTAAAGTATTATATACAGAACTATCAACTTCAAATACTTTTTCCCATTCTTTGCCAGAGAAAATGGGCTAGTATACAGATATATCTAATGGTTATTAAATTTCAATGGTATAAGGTCCCACGATTCTATATTCTCATAATGTAAGTATATTCCTCCAAATAATAATACAGAAAAGAAAATGTTAACCAAGAACACATACTACAGTAAAATCCTTATCAAAAAAATACTATTAAAGGAAGAAAAGGATAAATATCATAAAGATGTGTAAAAACAAGTTATTACTGTGTACAATACTAATTTATTAATGTGTACAATACTAACACCCATGTCTGTCTATAATTTGGTCAGAACAGACAAGATGACTCAAGAGAACCACAACTTTCTAGAAGCAGGGTCATGTGGGCTCTTTAGCAGTAATTTACTGACAGATGGAAGCTTGATCCAAATATTTTCTTTAGCCAAAAAAAAAAAAAAAATTATATATATAGAGATGTATATGATTAGGAATTAATATTATTTATTTTACATTAAAAAGTTAAAATCCAGAACTTAAAAAAGCAGGTAGAACCCCCAAATTACAAAGTGCTTCCACATTATCTTATTTAGTAAAAGACCTAGAATGCAAGCCCAGACTCTTTGATTACACTACTCTTAATATTATAATAAAGACAGCTTCTTGAAACCTAAATGTCAACAATCAAAAATGTGTAAGAAATGTCTTTTTACCTTTTTAAGCAAACTAGATTTTTTCAAGAGCCACTCTCTTCTTTTGGTCAGAGAATGACAATACATATACAGTAGGGCTCCTCGTCTCCAAGAGAGACATTCAAGTAGCTCATCCCCAAGCAAATCACAAAGCTGAAACACACACACACAAAGCCAAAAGAGAAACCTGATGTCTTTTGGTCAARTTAGAAGTCAAATTTCAAAAAATTGAGCAATTAAAAACCCTCACTTCACAAGAGGTGCCCCAGTTTAGTAATTTACACAGGAATGCCTATCTTTGAATCAAGCAGAAATACTGAAATTTATTAGTATGTAAAAATTAAAATAACTTTTACATTTACAAATAGTTTTACAAAGTAATTCTAAAAATATTTTAGTAGCTAATTCCTCTAACATATTTGAAATATAGTCTACAATCTGATTAAAAAGATAGCTTTTCAGAAGTGTTAGTTGAAAAAAGATCATATCTATTTCTTTTAAGTAAAGAAATAAACATAAGAGAATCTAATAAGAATCAGATTGCTAGAATAAAATACTGAAAAGTTATACACAAGAATAATTTTAGTAAACCAAAACTTTTTGTTGTGGTAAGGCATTTAAATCTTGCAATGTTTTGTTTCCATAGTTAGCCTCCCCTAATAAATACATACAGCAAAGAAGGTATCTAGGTAGCAAGTCAGCAGGCACTTAAAGATGAGAAATTATTTGCTAGAAAGATTATCCAGGACTAGCGATATAAGCTCTGCAATCACCTAAACAGAGATGATAGTAAAAAGTATGTGATCAGGTTGTCAAGCAAAAATAAAATAGAGATTATCAGAGGAGAAAGTAACGTCCTTAGGGAATGGCAATGTTTCAAGAATAAAGGAGAGAGGAGTTGCTTTGGAAAGAAGAGAAGGCTTCTCAGAAATGAAGGAGAAAAGAGCATGCAGGGGCTCCAAGGGATGGTATAATCAAAAGGCAGCAATTGTTCAGGTGGATCAAGACTAGAAAAAGGATAATAGGTATGGTAATTAGATTTCCAGGGACCTTTAGAGAAAAAAATAGCATGTGCAACAGTACAGGGAGCAAAAGTAGGGAATATCTGTGTTTACAAAGGCATACAATTATAATTCCATCATGCAAATATTCTAAAAATATTTAGTAAAATACAATATTTTACTGTCATGTTGGTCTGCAGTGGTAAGCTCTCATACTTCCCTCTTTCAATCTTAAAACAGAAACAAAAATATATTGAAAAAGAAAAAAACAGACACTAAGAGAGCAAGAAAGCAAGAACCAGAAGCATTCCGCAATAATTTACAGTGCAAAACTTACTTTTGGATGCATATTATTTTCTTTAACTAAAATTTCTGGTTCTGAAAGAAAACTGATTAGTTCTTTTACTTTCTGGGAAGAAGAGTCTTCAGGAAAATCTTCATCTACTAGCTTATTCTCCTCAAAATATGTCATGTCCAAAATAGCCTAAACAAAAAAGAAAAAAGTATAAGCRATTTAAACTTTAAAGAATTAGAGTTTAACTTTGCATATGTAGAAGATGTATATGTGTGTATATACATATATACATCTATATCTTATATATACATATATATATCAAACATTCTAGCATGGTAGTTAAATTTGGGAAGTATTCAGAGTGTCTAGCTATAAAAATAACTTGAAATAGGCATTATAGAAAACGTTACAGGTAGTTGCACATGGTGATGAACACCTAATATCCTAGAGATTTGGGAGCTGAGGCAAGAGGATTTCCAAGTTTGAGGCCAGTCTCAGCAACTTAGTGAGATCCTTTCTCAAAATAAAAAAAGGGCTGGGATGTAGTGCAGTGGCAAAATACCCCTGGGTTCGATTTCCAGTACTGAGGGAGGAGACAACTTTGTAGGTATTTTATTTTAGTAAAACACTGGGTTAATGGTTATCTTGCTTCTCTCAAGAAATAAAATGAAGATTATATTTTAACATGTTAATCATATTTAAGAAATTACGAAAGAGTCATGAATTATTACATTCTTTGCTATTTACATATGTATAATCCCTGAATTTTTTTTAAACACCTGCAGTATTAAGGTCACCACTTCTGGTTTTCTATATTGAAATTTTCAGAGGATTTGTTTTCCCAAATGCATAGTCAGTATTTGAGGGCTATATATCTTGCCACCCAATAGTGAATGCATACTATCAACATATGCAATTCAAACACCAAGTCCCCAGCACTCCTAAATATAAAAAACACTCTATTCAAGCACCTTAATATTTTCCAATCCTTTTTCTTTTTTTTAAATCTTCTGAATTAAGACTGAGGAAACTGGGTTCTAGTGTCAATTCTACATTAATCATATAACTAACCAAGGACAAGTTAATTTTATCTTTTCTAAGGCTGTTTCTTCACTGGTAAATGATAAATTGGATTAAATGCCTTTCAAAGTTCCTTCAAAGTTTTGAAGATAAAATCAATTATTACATGTAAAGCACTTGAAACATTACCTAGCACAGTTAGTGATATTTAAAAGATAAATGTTATTGTGTACAAAGCCTAAGCCAGGAAAGAGAGATCACCATCCTATGGAAGATGGTCTGTTAATTCAGAACTCAAAGGTTCTAGAAGATGTGGGAAATCTCAATCTGTATCTCTAGGTCTTTTGTACACTTTGGAAACTTCTTTAAGTACTCTACTTTTTACAACCATTTCATCTTTCTAATCTTAATCAGGAAAAGGCACACAAAAGCACTTTACCAAGTATAATCCAAATGTTAGTTATTATAAAGTTTATTTTTACATGTCAGTTTGTCTCTGCAGTATTTGGAAAAAAAAAAAAAAAAAAAACAAGGAAACAGGTATTGTCCATAGAAAGACCTGAATTTAAAGGAAAGTAAAAGAAAAAAGGGGGAACAGAAAAATATTATGAATGTGCATGAGACTAGCAGGGGGAACCATGTTTAGAATCCTGAGAAAAGGTGAATTTCAGAAAAAAAATAATAGGACTGTTAAGAGTTCCCTACTCCCTCTGAAGTGTTCAAGCTCTTAAGACACTGAATGTTATTCTGTGTTACTTACACATAAAGGGAAGCAATTCTTTTACCTGCAAGATTTTTTTCCTCACTTTTCAATCAACACATTATATAAATCCCCCTCCTTTGCATACTGCCTCAAAGTTTCAAGTTACTTACTTTATATATTTTTTTTTCTAAAATTATACATTTTAAATAAAGAACAAACTGGGGCTGGGGATGTAGCTCAGTGGTACTTGCTTAGTATGTACAAAGCCCTGGGTTTAGCACTGCAAAAACATAACAAACAAAAKAAAAAAATAAAAACAACTTCATTATTAACTTTGGAGTTAATCACCTAAATAAGCAATCTGCCCTCATAAAATGCCAGAGTCCACATCTGTTTCAGTACCTGTGTATAAAGTTCTAGAAGATTTGATGGATTTGAACATTCTTTCTCTTCTCCACATAAAAGTTTCAGTTTTTCCAGAGCTGCCGAGGCCCGAATTAAAAAGTGATCTGTAAAAAAGTTAAAACACATGATTATATCATAAATTTAGAGTACATAAGTATCTGAGATGACGAAATGAAACTATATTATAGAATATGAAGAAACAGCAAGCACTATCTTATTCAAAATATGAAGTATAACATAATGTCCAATACTAATTAAGTAAATTTATCATGGAAATTTATTCTGGAAAGCAAAAGACTGAAAAATTTCTGCATTCTAAACAGAAAACTGCTATTTCCTAAGTGCAGTGTATATTTTCATAATGCTTCTTTTATAATGCTGATCYATTCAAAATGCTTAAATAATAAATTTATATAGCTTTTATTATAAGAATACAAATACTTTATATAAATCCACAGAAAGGGCTTCTACTGATAATGTGTGATGTCATAAAAATAATTGTAAAGGTTTTTTTAAAAGAATATGATTTACCAAATCAAATGTTTCATAAAATATCAGCACTATAAACAATTATAATTATAACCTGTGTTTATAGCTATTACAACTAAAATTATGTAATAATTGTGTATTTTATTCTTTTAAAACAGACATGAAACAAATTACCTTGTTCCTTCAAAATCTGAGGAAAAAGGAATAATAGGTCTACTTATCACATTCAACTCCTCTTCCCTATCTACTATTTTTTCTCCTTTTTATACTGTCATTATCCTTTTGCTTCTTCTATGATTTCAGCTATTATGYATTCACACAAAGGCACTATAGATCATTCTATATTACCTCCTATAGTAAACTTTAGATATGTAAGACACTAAAGTCCCTGAACTTGCCCCTTTGTGTTTCTCCTCTGGAAATACAAATCTTTCCTCCTCTTCTAATGGACACATTATATAGCACTTGGGGTGGGCCCATTTGATCTAGACTCAGCAGAAATTGAGAAGATCCATTAAGCTGTTTATTGTCAGACCAAAAGCATCATCAGGATATGTCCATTACCATTCATATGATGACCTTAAGTATTTCCAGTTAAAGACTGGGAAAGATAAAGACCCTTACCAGATTATGACTGCTGTTAAGATTCACTATTTACTTGAACTGAATGCTCCTTATTTAGCAGTCTTCCTATCTGTCCTTGGTCCAGAAGTATCAACCACACAACCCAGAAAATAGATTCTACTATGAATCCAAATTGTACAGAATATAGCGTTCCTTACAGTGCTTCTTTAAGAGATGTTCACCTTTTTTTTTTTTTAACTTGCAAGATTATTATAAGACTTGATTGAATGGATAGGACTAGAGACCATTATGTTATATGAAATAAGCCAAACTCAAAAGGTCAAGGGTCATATTTTCTCTCATGTGGAAGTTGAGAGGAAAAGGAAAGGAAACAAAAAAAGGTGTTGGGTAATGACTGGGGTGGTCTCATGAAAATCAAAGGGACAAGGGGGTGGAAGGGAGGAGGGAAATACTGAGGAGTAATATTGTCCAAATTATTTTGTATGCATGTAAAAATATGTAAAACAAATCCCATCATTATGTACAACTATAATGCATCAATAAAAATATATGGAAAGAGAAAAAAATAAAATGAATACCCTCAGTATCTAAAAATTTTTTAAAAAGTCCCTGAGCTTGGATTGAAGGCCCTAGACCACTGCTGAATGAAGAGTGACATGACTACCATAGAGATAATGTTATAGTGGCATAACTATCATTTTAGAAAAGTCCATAAAAATGCAATACTTCTACTAGAACTATTCAAACAACCACAGGCAAGTCAAAAGATAAAAAGTGATTCTTATATAATCTCTGGAAAAAGTCCCTCTCATAGAATATTTCCATATAGTAAACATACTGTACTTGTACAATAAGAAAAATATTAACAAATATTGGCCAGAAATATAAAGGAGAGCATTTCCTAGATCGAATAACATCTGATTGTACCTGATCTAATTTGAATAAGTCAATGAGAACTATCGATCCCTACAACCTAGTATGAACAAATAGTTGTTACATTAAAGGATAATTTTTTAATATATATTATTTTGTTGTGTGGGAAACAAATGCCAAGTTTAATTCAAATATATTCAATTTTGCTTTAACTAAACTTCATAAGAAAATCCTGATAATAATATTTTAATGAGATCAATTTAAATACTGATTAATAGTCCATAATGTTACAGCTACTATTGTATTTAACTTTAATAAACTTTCAGAAAAATAGTCTCCAAATATGAATACATCATACCAGACTTTTATTTTCAGACTTCATTCTAGACTGAATTAAAGAATTCCTCCACAGGAAAATGAGAATGACTCATCGGTGCAGTAATAAGTTATTAAAAAATAATCTGTGATTTCTTTGAATTGTTCCAAATATGGCTGGAACTAGAGGTAACTTGGAAACACTTACAGGTAATTGCTACTACTATCCACAAATTATTCATGTGAATCCTAAGATTCACTTACCACAAACCAAAAAAGAAGTCAGCTTCAGGGTGGTCTGTGGGTCTTTGAAGAACATACTCCTGAGAAGAGATAATCCGGTAAACAATCTTCACTGAAACTAAGTCATCTCATCTTAGATCTTATTCAATAAATTCACCAACTATTCAATCACTTGGGAAAATGTCTCACTGTTGTTCTAAAGAGAAATGAGTGAGCCCACAAGMATTTTAAAACCTACCTGTCTGAAGTAAAGGTTCAAAATGGGGTAATGTAGAACCTATAAGTTGTTAGAAATGAAAAGAGAACTGGACTTGAAGTCAAAAGATCAAAGTAACTCCTAAGTCAGTTTTGTCCAAAGGAAAAGAGCTCAGACTTCTTCAAAACAAGTGCTCTCATACTCACAGAACCCTTGTTGAGAACCGAGATAACACWCGTGAATCAAGATCATTTAAATTACACCAATGTAAAGCTCTTCCATAGAATATTATTTATGGTTGCGTTCTAATCCAAAATATGAAACCGAAAATATTATAATGGAGTAATACAAAAAGTGTAACTGTTATATATGCCTATTTATCTTTACTGGGTGCAAAACTGCTACTGCTTGACTACTATTCCTCAAYTTAACTAATTCTTTAAACGTTCGTGTGTATTTTCAATTAATACTACACTTTTTCCACTCGTTACCGAAACAGATCCGACAGCACACATCAGGCTCAGATGAAAACAAGAAAGATTTCAYGGGTTACGAAAAATGCGGTTTTAAAAGCAAACGCCTTGTCAACGCAAGTTCCTGAGGGAGGACTATCCACCGCGCGGCACAGGATCAGAAGAACARGACCAAGGACCTGGGACCCCCAGGGGCCACAGGCCGCAGCCTCCGGTCCTAACAGCCATGGAACACCAGCCCTGAACCACCGTCCGCCCGGCCGCCTCCCTCTCCTCCGCTCCCTCACCGTCTTCACCCGCGGCTTCACTAAGTTGCTGTATGTGGGCTTGAGCCAGGTCCCCCAGCTCCTCCACTCGCCTCACCACAGTGGAGACTGCGGCCGCCATGGCCACAACCGGCGGGCACGCCCCGGCCACGTGACCACGCCATCCGAAGATCACCTGATCCCCCACCTTCGGCGGGGCGAGGGGGCGGAGCTCGACTGGTTGCTGGGAGGAGACTTCAGCTCCGGGAGAGAAYCGACCAGGGCCCACAAAGGTCGTTCCGGGGTGTTTCATTCCTCCGGACTGCCTCCTCCCTCCCATAATTCTGTGCAACCCTGGCTCCAGGGGCGGGTGTGATGCCGGGGCACACCTCCCTCCTGCCCCCTTCTCTCAACCAATAGGGAGCCACCCATGCCCCAAGGTGAGCCAATGGGAAACCAGCTCTCGGCCTGCGCCCGGGAAAAGAGCGCCACCGCGGCAGACCCACCAGCCGGAAGAAGGAGGTCGGAATGTCTGGAAAAAGGATCAACGGGTTTGGCTTGGTAGYGAGGGAGGTTACCTAAAATAAAATTATAATCTCTCTGTCAGAACCCGAAAGCCTGCCGGCCCCCRCGCAGCACATCCAAGTCTCCCGTGTGGTCTGGGGGAGGGGGAAGGCCCCAACGGTCGCGGAAKTTGCCGGTCTACGCGGTGGAATTATCCTTTCTAAGGCCGAATTTCAGCGGTTGACTTTGTTTTGCCTCCGTCTTCCCCTAACCTGAGCACGTTTATTCCACCCGTCTCGCTGCCAACTGTAGTAAAAGTTGCAGCTACAAAACTCTGTTATATGCAGTTCTTCTCGAGACCCTTCGTAGAGGCGCTAAATTGTGAGGTTCAGGCTCTCAGCTGTGAGTTTCAGGCTTTTAAATAGTCAGCTCTTCTGCTTTGTGTTCCCCGACTACTTTCTTGCCTTTGGTGGAACAAATCTTGAATTCTGTTTTTCAGTTTGGCACAGAATATCCATCTTCTTTCCTATGGGAGGTAGTTGGTTTTTGTTTGTTTGTTTGTTTTGTTTTGTTTAGCTTAGTAAAAAAATACTTGAAAGTACGGAAATATTGTATTGTAATTTTTATAAGTAATTGACCACAACGACTTTCTAACAGACCTGATTTCTTTCTCTGTCAAATCACCCTTAATATTGTGTGTGTGTTCTGTGTCCCCAGAGTCTCCTATGGTGCCTGGCACATAATACTCAAAAAATATTTATTAATTTGAAAAACAAAGCAAACCTCCAGTTGTTATAATCAAAATTTCTGAAGGCCAGGAAGTTTACGTTGTATAATCATGGTGGGCCAAAGAAATGTAGTAGGCATCTGAAACTTTGAAGTGCCAAACCTTAAAAGTATATTCTGAGCAAAACTTATAATTCCTATGAAATATTAAATAACTGTAAACTTTTAGCTGGAAACATACTTAACACTGGGAATTATTACTCAACTGATACACTGGTGTGTGCCTATTTTCAAAGAAAAAGTTGGATGAGATCTGAGAATATTATGGAGTGTGTGGTTCAGACTTAATCCAGACAACAAAATGAAAAGAATGAGACTATTAGCCCCTCCAAACCTTAGCATGATTCTGTGGTTAGTCCAAGACCATACCAAAGCAAACACCCATACAAAGCCCTCTTACCATAAAGTCTTACCATAAAGACACACAGGAAATAGTCAAGTCTTACCAATGTACTCTAGACAAAGTGCTCAAAGCCAGAGAACACCTGTACTAGAAAAGAAATACTTTTACTCCAACTCAGTTTTTTTTTTTTTTAACTTTAGGAAACCCATATAAATRGAACAAATGACAAATACAATACTAGTTTATTTTTAATTTCAGAGAAATTAATAGCTGAATAATAATGTACCAAAAATTTCTCATAAAAGGAATAATTGATCTCACTGACCCATTTACCCCACCACTGATATATAGTGGATAAGATCCATTTATGTTTACATAAATATAAAATTCTTAGTTATTCTTGAATTAACTTCTACCATTATTTTAGAACCTTCTTTCAATCATTTTATATTTCTGTAGGCATTGAATTTCCTTTTTAACTCCCAATGAACAGAGATACATAGATACATGCATATACACACACAGATTTTATTGCCACCAGTGACTTTCATATAATATAACTTTATTACATAATTGCTCCCTTTCTCATTTAATGAGCTATTATTGGGTCAGGCACAGTGATAGGCACTGGAACTATAGCAATAAACAAAATTAACATGATCCCTGCCCTCTTATAGCTTATTATCTGTAAGACAATATAAAAATAATGAGAACAAATAAATGCATAATTTTAGAATTGTAGAAGGTGTTGTGAAGGAAAAGTTAAAGGGATATGATTTGGTTTGAGAATCTCTCTAATCAGAGAAGACATCAGGAAATTATACTAACACCTAAATAATGAATAAAATTAGCCAGTTGAGTGGAGAGCATATAAATCTTCATGCAATCAGAAGAGAAACCACAAGGTAATTTGAATATGGAAACTTCTATATAAGGAATTATTAAGTATAACAGGGTACTAGAATGACAATGGATTGGGTACTGAGAAGCCAAAAAAAATTTAAATAATAAATGAATGGCAAGTACTGGGAGCAGCTGTTACCATTGGAACAGAGATTCAGATCTTGTAAGAGAACTTATGGCCATGGGTCACTGGTCAGCAGAGAAGTTACAATATCCTTGCAAGTGAAACTTCCTGGAACTCCATCCTCTAGAATTTGCTAGAAATCTGTCCTGTAGGTTTCCAGGGAAAGACATTTATGGGAAAGCATTTCACAGTGGGCAAACTGTTAGAAAACTGCCTGAGGGGAATGCCAGGAGAAGATGCTGGCTACCATGCGTTACAGGACTCCAGTGCCAGAAGCTGCATCTGTGGTAGGAGTCAGATGTCAGCAAGCCATCCATGCTTCAGGAGTCTGCCAAAACACACACACACACACACACACACACACACACACCAGGAAATACCTTTTTTCCTCCTGCAAGGGATTTCTAATTCCTTCTACTCTCAAAACTTAACATCATATCAGCTGACAAAGGAAAAATGATTAAAAGGCCCAGATATATTTGACAAAACAGGGCAAAAAGATAAAATTGGAACTGAGAGGCAATAAAATCTATAACTGGAATAGTGTGGGAAAACATGTCAGGTGCAATAGATAACACAAGCAAAGACTCTGAATTTTGAAAGAGCATGGAATTTGCAGGAATAAATGAAAGTTAAAAGCTCCTACAATGTAAGGGAAAGTGAAGTAATGTGAAGCCTAAAAGCACACATGGAGGTTACCTGTTGAGTGCAGAGCTCCCTCACAACCATGGAAATGGATCCCAAGACCCGAATGTGAGCCCCAAATGTCAACTGAGCCTGTATTTGGGGACCATGGTGAATTCATTTATTTAATTATATAGTAATTAATAGAAAATTTAATTCATTTTAGCTCTTTGGGGACATCCACCCTATTACCAATAGGGTCATCAAAACATAAGAGATCTGGGCCAAATACAACCTCTGTTCTTTTACACTTACCATATGATGATGGGAAAGTTCATTAAATTTTATAAGCCTCTATTTCTTCATTTGTAAAATGAGGATTGTGATAACTATCCTTGAGTTGTTCTAAATTAAATGATCTTTGTAGGATGTCAGACTATTCTCCTACATATAGTAAATAAACAGTACATAGTAGTGAATAAATGGTTATTAACTTCTGGCCAACCCCTACTTAATTCATTAAATCATATATTTATTGATCATATGCCTTAATTGGCAAATTCTGCTGTATAAAACATATACAACAGAGGAAATGGATCATTGTAAATGAATGATCTCCACCCTCAGCAGAGGCAGCTATTTTTCCTTAGATCCATTCTCAGTTCCTTCCCACAAAGGTATTTAAAAACTTCACCACTTATATCCATGGATTCAGAAATAAAAAGAAATGACTTGATATATGCAAAAGCATGGATGAATCTTAAGGAAATTATGGTGAGAAAAAAATAACAAGCCAGAAAAATTATGAATTGCATGATTATTTTTGTAGTTCTTAAAAATGACAGAATTATAGAAAAAGAGAACAGATTGGTTGTTACCAGTCTTAAGAATGGGGGAGTGTGAATGAAGGGAGGCAGGTGGTTGTGGTAATAAAAGAGCAGCTTRTGGTATAACTGTCCTATCTGTTGACTTTGATGGTAGATGCAAGACTACATGATCATATTTCATASAACTAAATATACACACACTGTTACAGTTTATATAGGAGGTGTCCCCTAAAATCTCATGTGTGAGACAATGCAAGAATGTTCAGAGTTTAAATGATTMATTTCTGAGAGGTGTAACCTAATTAGCCGATTAATTCCCTTATGGATTAACTGGGTAGAAAATTATAGGCAGGTTGAAAGTGGCTGGAGGAAATAGGTCACTAGGGTCGTGACTTTAGGACTTACATTAGGATTTACATTTTGTCCTTAGTGAGCAGAGCAGAGGCAGTGCGGTCTCTCTCTCTCTCTCTCTCTCTCTCACTCTCTCTCTCTCCTTCCGGGCTATTACATCCTAACTTGCTTCCCTTTGTCATGCCCCTTTGCCTACATCCCTCTGCCATGCTGCTCTGCCTTATCTTGGGACCAGAGCTATGGAGTTGGTCGTCCATCAGCCAAACCTCTGAAACTGGGAGCCAAAATAGACTTTTCCTCCCCTGCATTGTTCTTGTCCGGTTTTTTGCTCACATCAACAAAAAAGCTAACACACACACACACACACACACACACAAATTGAGTTCATGTAAATCCAGTAAATCTGAAAAAATTTAAAAGAGCAAATAAATGGCAATTTCCTTCTCATGATTATCATATTGTAGTTTTGCAAAATGTTCCTTTGGGGAAATGGGGGGAAAGGTACACTGAGATCTTTTAGTACAATTTCTTACTGTCACATGAGAATGCACAGTTAACTAAAAATGAAGAGTTTAATGTAAAAAAATGTCACCATATTCCCAGTGTGATACATCATTTGAAGTGACTTTTGACATAGAGAAAAGAGTGGAGGGTTAAGGGGAACTGACTAGTTGGCAGGACTTTATGAGCAAAACAACATAGAGAGGGAAGTAAAGTCTATATTTA